GAGGTATCTTCGTAATAACCTTATATTATCATTAATTGGCATTAACTCACCAATATTATTTTGAACGGTTTGATGCATCGCTCCAGAATAATGTATACTTTTGACAGCATCCTGACAACAAGATAATACAAAAATAGGTTGAAAAAAAGTTAAAATTAATGTTAATAACAGACAAAGTGACCTTTATAGTTCACCTGAAAGAGTAGCAAATGTATCTAGGATCAATTTATTTACAATTGAATTGTTTTTTTATGATTACATTTTTTTTTCACAGTCTAAAAAATATTAACTAACGTTATTTCATGATACAAGCAGTAGTTCAAGGCATACAGACTTCCAATTCTTGCTTTACGGTTATCAATTTTCAAATAACGAACTACCCAAAATTACCATGTCATCAACCTGGTATACCACTAGGCTACAAAGAAATATTGTTTCATTTCAAGCCCTGCACAGTATGGTTATGCTTCTACACCGTGTCTTGGTCTAGCCTACCACTGAGCACATGTTAATTTTTTCACCACAATAATATCTCACCCACATTATTCTCAACTTTTTCCCTATATTCTTCAATATTTCTGGAAATGAACCCTAATTTTGGAGCCAACAGAAACAAATTTAGTTGATTTTTAGTTTTTACTCAAAAAATTTGGCTATTTTTGTCCCAATCTTCGTAGAAAAGTGCATACTATAAACAGGCCTATTTTCTGAATAGTGGTGATGAATACTGGTGGTGAAAATGTCAAACTATAATTAAACTGCCCACAAATGTCTTGAATATTGCTGGAATTTTAAAATTAACAAATAACTTACATTGATATCAAAAAACAAATATTCTGGATCATATGGGATGTTCTTTTCTATGAAATACTGGAAAATAAAAAAAAAAAATCACTCTTTTTAAAGTCATTAATATGAAATATTGACAAACACTTGGCTCGTCTGTATAAAATACACAAAATGAATGTGTTCAGAACAAACAATTTCCAGGCTATGGTCAACTCAAGTTCTATATTTCAAGTGCCGAATTGAACAACTGACCAAACAAGCAATTTCATCACTGCTACCCCAATCCAAAAATAATCTGAATCTGATTTTATAAAGACTGACTTCAACGTCATAGAAAATAGGAAAACATTCAGCAATGAAAGGGGTATAAACCATCATTTTCAAAATGACAGCAAGACGACATTGGTATTCTTGAAAATATTCCCAAAACAAGAAGTACTAGTAATCTATGACACAGTTCAAGTTCCAGTTCAGCAGCACTTTAAGTTTCAATTGCTCAGGAAATGTTTAAAGGGTCATGAGACACCAAGGTTTGGCGTACTAAGTATATAATCATATGATATATCCCAGAAAGGTCAAAGTTCAATACCAATACCTGTATAACATTGGCCAATAATGTCATCTCTGGAATGGAGAAAAGGTCCATCATCTGTCGCATATGACCACCCTGGAAGGCAAATAAAAAGTGAGATTGAATGTGTGTTGTTGAAAATAATCATTAATCTCAGTTTGAAATTCAAGAATTTCATCACAAGTGGTGCAGTTTATTTTTATTATCCATCAACTAAAAATGCACAATTTTAGAGAGTTGAGAAGTCAAATTAACAATTCATTGTCAATGACACGTCCCCGTTCCGTTCATATTTGAGTGACATAT